GAGGTGCACGTTACCAATGGACTTCATGCATTCTTCCTTCTACCTATCCAAGTAGCTTATACACCATCATCTTTCATTAGGTCAGACCATAATCCTCCAGTAACATCTTTCTTCTGGCCCGCGTTTTCTATCAACGCTCCTAGTGTGGTGATGCTCAATACCTCGGTGCTTTCCCTATTCGACGATCTTCAATTTATAGTACGACCACCATTATATTTTTCTCCGGCTGCAGTCAACTTTTGCCAAAACCCATTTAAATACGGACATGCCCCAAGTTTCCTCATGTTTATTAGGAGATGCTGGCGGGTGATGCATACCGCACTTGCAAAAGACTGTTTATGCTATACCTAATTTCACTTGCACAGTAATGAAGACAACAGAGAAACGCCACCTGGGAAAATTCGATCGCAGTAAACGGATGACGACCCAAGACAGAACAGAGAGAAGAATGAAGGCATTCACGAAAACCATAAGCCCCTGCCTTCATTATCAACATACATGGGTTAGGAGCAGAATCAGCCAATTAGCTTCCCAGCATCTATTCGAACCGTGAACATAATGATGTATTGAAGCCATGGCACACAAACCTGTAACACGCGAAGACATAGAGTCATAATGGAAAAAGATATCCCGAAGACCAAACGAGAGTGTACTAACAAATCAACAGCACTTCCCACCCGCGTTGCCGTTCAGCCCGGAACCTTGCTGGTCTATGCTCACGCCCTGGGAGCCGACCTGTTCGGACTTCGACGTATCCATTCCTTTCTTGATATCGGATGCGAGATCATAAAACGCTTTCTCGATGTTGATGTTGTTCTTAGCTGATACTTCAAGGAATGGTATTCCCAGCTCATTGGCCAATTGCTGACCTTGCTCAGTTGACACAGCCCTCTTCTCTTCCCAATCACATTTGTTGCCAATAAGGATCTTGTGAACGCCTTCGCTCGCATGTTGCTCAACATTTGAAAACCAAGTGCGAATGTCTAAGTAAGGCGATTGGGCATTAGCATCAAGTTATCTCATAATCCACCTCGGGTTCAAGGAAAGCGTTTCTCACTTTGAAACGATCTTTCGTCGGTAACATCGTATACAAGAAGTATGCCCATAGCTCCTCTGTAGTATGCGGTAGTGATAGTTCTAAATCGCTCTTGCCCAGCTGTGTCCCATATCTGGAGCTTTACGCGTTTACCGTCCAACTCGATGGTACGTATCTTGAAGTCGATTCCGATGGTAGTAATGAACGACGGAGTGAACGAGTCTTCACTGAATCGCAATAGACAGCATGACTTTCCGACCCCAGAGTCACCAATCAGCAGTAACTTGATCTACAGAGACCGATATTTAGCTTATTGATTTCTTGGGGCATTAATCAATACTCACCAGGAAGTCGTAGTTCCTTGTACCAGCCATCTTGTTGTTGCAGACTCGAGGTATACAGAGAGCGAGGGATAAAAGCCGTGATAGTGAGTTTATGTTCTGCGTTGTGCTAATCCCTACTCGATATTCGTCTTAGTTGGGTTTGACGTTATTCTCCCCTCTCCTCTGTTGGTCTTGCGTGCCCCCTCTCTTTTCTCCTATCCCTTCCGATTCCGCTTATGGTTTCTCGACAAGTTTGTGTTTGGCTGGAATCAAGATTTCACTTCACTTAATTTGTCTGCTTGTCTCCGTCAATAATACCGACTGTAAGAGAACTCAAGTCTTCGAATAGTGGCAGGTGCTGGATTCAGGATCTTCCACGGAACCAGGAGCCGGTCCGGAGAATGGGGTCAGGGGACGGGACGGGACAAGACAGGTGTTGTATCGGAGACCTTTTGTTGAAGTAAGAATCGGCGACGTTGGACACGTTCAATTTCGGAAAGTTGCCGGGGGAATAATTTCATTCGATAGACAACAGTAGCACGACTTATCTTTGGGAACTGCTTTCTTTCCAAGGTTTATTAGGAAGCTGGCAGCAGTATATGCACGTACAGTGAGTACATGTTCGGAGTAGTATCCCGGGCACTTGTGTAATCGCCTAGTATCGTCCGGTCTACCCAAGCGCACCCCACAGATGAAAGTATTTAACTATCAGCTTTTATACCACTTTAAGACAGCTACTGTTCATTTGTGGCTCCAGTCAGATGTTCCAAACACGACAGACAAAAACAATATTAAAATCAAAAGTATCACTTGAAGATATAGCATCGATACCCCGTAGCCTTGATCATATCCTTGGGTATTGAAATGGTCACTAACATCGAACACGTCATTTCACCCGGTTTACACTAGGATTGTCCGAGATATACCAAAGTGTAGAAATGAGCTCCCTTGTACATAAGCTTGGTGTAGATTGGACCATCACAATATCTATCATTGTTCGACAATACGTCTACGACAGAATGTAAGAGATAATACAGTAATACTTGTCGAGAATTTGTCAGCCGCCAAAGTCAAAAGGCATGAAACATAGTGTTCACCAAAAGAGTGAGGATAACGGATTGCATCAAATCCATTTTGAGTAGACCCAACCCATTCGTTCAACAACCTTGAGTTGCCGGTCAATCGTATCTCGCTCGACTAATTCGGTGATGTCTTCCTGGAATGAACGGAGATCCGTGCCTTTCAGTATGATCCGCGCCTTTGAAAGTAGGACTTCGGCGTTGCATATGAGGAGACCATAGTCTCTAAATGCCAGCGCATTGCCAGGAGTGGAGGCAGATGATGTTAAAGTCCGATGTACAATCCTACAGCGATATATTAGGCCTAAATCAAATTGTTCTTTGGGACTAGGTCAGAACTTACCGCAAAGCATGCCTCAATTCGTCCTGCTGCTTACCCATTCGGAAGCCCCTTCGACTGCCCAGCAAGCCGTAAAGCCAACGAAGAGTCGCAAATGACACCATTAAGCCTGGGGTTAGTCCAATAAACCTATAGAAAGTCAATGGCTACTCTGGTATTCTTGGCCGGAAGTCGTACCCAAAAACCAGCTCTTGGCTTTTCAACAGAGCGTCAATTCCCCCTATCGCGATTTCAACATCTACTTTTGTTTTCTGTATCTGTATCAGAAGTGCTCGCACCAAATCACCCTTGACGGTCCCGACAAAAGGACTACGCAGGTCATTTTCATATGCTTTCAGCACTGGTGTCAAGTCACCTTCCCGGACTTTAGCAGCAATAACATGGGTATCAAAAGCATCATAGTCATTCTTGTTCGGTTCACAACGATCAAGAACGAAGTCCACAACCATTCTTTCCAAACTCGCTCGATCGGCTTCCAAGCTGTTTCTACTCATCAATGCAATTTCACTCTTTTCATCGTGTCTTATAGTGCCGATAAGCCTGCGAAGTGGGTCTACAACCCAGTTGTTCCAAAACTCGATAGTGGTTGAACCGAAGTTGGCAATCCATTCCAAGAGCTCATGGCGCCTATTCCGTAACAGCTCCAGTGATGTACTTGTTGATAATAGTGCAAGGGTCAAAGGTAGCCAAAAACGTACTAGGTAATGGGGGCGTCCAGAGTTGTTGATTGTTGTGGCTGAAGCTTTGGCATAGGCCGGTAGAAGCTGTTCAAGTATATAGCCCAATTGGTTCATGACAAATCTCGGACCCTCCGATGATAGATCACTGCAGTAATGCATGCGCATCGACGTGACTTCTTGATTGATCGCCATGTTTATGTGCTCTTCATGATTCCACGGGACACTTCCCTTTTCAGCATCTTCGAGAAGCAATTTCATTAAGGCCACACTCTCAAGGACGTTGATCTGCCAGCTCTCAGTGAACATACCATGGCTATTGTCACCTGTAGGATTGTCGCCTGTAAAATTGTCGCCAACTGCGCATGAGAAACTGTTTCTTATGAGGATCCCTATGCTACAAGCATTCATATCTTTCAATGAACTCAATGTCTTCCGCTTCTGCCGTACATCTGACTTCGCTGTTGAGAGTGGTGATAACATCCTTCCCCGCCAAAAATGCAAACTTTGGGGAAGGATACACTGACGAACAGATTCGTAAAATTGCATCCAGCTGGGTTGACCGGACGTCCGGGAATTGTTCATGGAGTTAGCATGGTGCCAGACTTTTCGGGATCTGTTCCAAAGCACCACTGGCGAGGTTTGGAGCATATAGAGCCCAAGTGACCAGGGGGACTCCAAAACACTATCCCAATAGAGCATCTCGTCATTGAGGGAGAGTACATCATCTGATAGCGTATTCAGTATAACTCCGAGAGTCTGGACTGCAGCCTTAGCAGCTACGAGCCAAGAAATGTCTACGACGTGTGCCATGAAAACATTCACGTCTGGCAGCGTGGGATCAGCATTGAGCACATCATCGGGGTATTCAGCAATTATTTTCAGAAGCCTTTCCGTCTGCAGTAACGGTTGAGACTTGGATGTCACGGAAAGTGAATCCATGAGCTTCTCCAATTTCGTGACATTTTCAATGGGGTATTTTGCTTGGCTTGCGTGTTTGTAGACGTCTAGCGATTTCGGATAGGCATTATCGGTTATTTGCCGCCACAGTTTATCAAAATGTGCATCCAGACTGTATGCCCTACGGTGACAGTGTCAATACTCCCCTCATGCTGACAATACAACTGAGTAACTTACTTATTTATTGCATACATTGCGAATGGTGAAGCAAACGGCAGAGTAGGGCGAACAATGAAAAATAAGTGGAATAACCAGAAGAAATACTGATCAAGAAGTTCGGGTTTAAGGATAATGGCGTCATGCGCACCAAGCAAATCATGCAAACACCAAGCCCACTTTCACCCTTTGCATCATGTACTCTCTTCTCTCTTCAGATCAGATAATATAATCAAATGTATCAGTTGGTGAATTATGGCAGGGTAACACGGTGTTCTGAGCATTACCTAAATTGCTACTACATCTATCGTAAGGCGATTGAACTCACAGCGAGTCAAGCTTAAGGTTGGAGATAAATAAGTCCAATCAAGGAAAAAAACATCCATCTGCGGAGGGCTGAATATATTGGGAAATCTATACAAAAGTACAATGAAACCGGACACGGCAGTGACTATAATACAAGTAATATTTGTGTGTTATGAAAGCTGTGCTCAGCACGCCCTTCGCTTTTGTAGTCCTCGGGCCACTGGTTATGGCTTAGTAATCTGGCCCCTGGCCCCCTGTCTGAAATCTCCCGAACCATGTTGCCTCCATTCACAAGGGCAGGTGTATGTACATGTTAATATAGTGCACGGAGAGTATGTCTCATTAACCTACCCGGGTGCTGCCTAGATCTAATCCAGTCCACCAATATCTACAAAGCAAATGCTCTATACAGTGCAGTGAGGAGGTCGCTTTGATTAGCTGCTAGGGGTAGGAATAATAATATAATTAGATAATAATAAGTAGCGAACATACCAACGTATCTACCAAGGAATACAGACTAGTTTCCAAGCAAGTGGAGCTAACTAATATCGGTCCCAGTCGGCTAGCCAGTGGTGCCAGAAAGGTCCAAGGCCAGGGGGAAAAGGTCTCGCCACCTCGGGAGCGGCTGTCCTGGTCGCGCGCTTCTTCCACAAGTGTTCCTGAAATACCAGCCAACCTCTCACAGGCAACAATCCATTAACAACTACTTAATTGTCGCTGCAACGCTTTTATCCTCGTTCATAACATTGGCCATATGCCAATCGCATAAACACGACTCTCTAAACCTCACATACCTCTGTCGTCTGCGTATTCTCGCTCCAATAGCGAGGGTTTATTGAAGGAGAGTTAAGAAGAAAAGTGCCAAGGGCAAAAGCCGGCCTGCGTCCCTGTACAATGTGAGCAGCTTTTGATGTACCACCCGTTATACATATGAGTTCTTACAGGACATAGGAATTCCACCTTGCTGTCTACGCCAGAATCATACTGGGGCCAGTTTGAAGAAATCTCCAAATACAATACTCATCTGAACGTGGTCGAAAGACTATGGACAGCATGGTATGCCTGGATGCAAAATGACGTTCTTGCAACTGGAATCATGTCTTTTGTAATGCACGAAATTGTATATTTCGGGCGTTCCCTCCCTTGGATCTTTATAGACACTCTCGGTTTGTTCAAGAACTACAAGATTCAAAGCGTGAGGCTCAGGATCACCGAAGCTTACTTGCCATTGTTCTAATTGGGTTACAGAGCAAGATACCATCCTTACGAGAGCAATGGGATTGTGCTAGATTTGTGCTACTCAGCCATTTTACCGTAGAGCTGCCACAAATATGGTGAGGAATACTTGATCTTCCAATGGGCCATTTGTGATGGCGTTACTAACAGCTCTAGGCTTTTCCACCCGATGGCCCAGTTTTTTGGCCTGTCCACCTCTGTACCTTTTCCCTCTTTGTGGACCATGGCTTATCAAATAGCAATATTCTTTGTCCTGGAAGACACGTGGCATTACTTTTCCCACCGTGCTCTCCATTGGGGTCCACTGTATAAAGCCATCCACAAGATTCACCATCAATATTCCGCACCTTTCGGTATGGCAGCTGAATATGCTTCTCCAATTGAAGTCATGATTCTTGGATTTGGTACTGTTGGTTGCCCAATTTTATGGTGTGCAGTAACCGGCGATCTGCATATTTTTACGATGTACATCTGGATCGTCTTGCGGCTTTTCCAGGCCATTGATGCGCACAGTGGCTATGAGTTTCCATGGAGTCTTCATCACTTCCTCCCTTTCTGGGCTGGCGCAGACCACCATGATCTCCATCACGAGAAGTTTGTAGGAAATTATTCCAGCAGCTTCAGGTGGTGGGACTATCTTCTGGACACCGAATACTCCCCGGAGGCTATCAAGAGGAGAAGGGAAAACAAGTCTGTGAAGGATACCAAGAAGGCTCAGTGATATTCCAGTCTTTGCAATGCCTGAAATAAAGGTGACCTGTATGGGCCATGTCTCAGGGCCATATGGGCTCTCTGGCGACGCGGCCGTTGGGCGGGACTTGACCATGGTTATCGACGACGTGATACATCATCTTATGACTTACACTTGCTAATATAGAGATATGGATTTTAATTCAAGTTTTATTCTTTTGGGTCGATTGACTAGCTGAGGGGTGTCATGGCTAGGATTGGACTATATCCCTTGCCTTGAGCAGACTTATGTAAAATAGTTTATTGAAAATATTTTAAACTCCTTGTCATATATGTTCTTTAAATTCTAGTTTTGATCCTTATGATAGGAAACAGGAGCAAGGCTGTTAAGGGGCGTTGTTGGAGATGTGTTAATGTTGGCTTTTACATCATAATAGCAACTAATAAGTTATATCTAGTTACCCTAGACTGATTACTTATCCCCGGAAACACCTAGTGTTGAGACCCCGGCCTGTGCGAACCTAAGACTAATGTCCGAATTTGTTCTTAGTGCGCCTTAAGGGGTGATGTTATAAGTGGAACATTCGGCAAGCACCAGCAGATAGCTTGTTGGTGCCGGCACCAACACTGTTGTCACTCCAACCCTATGGTCAGATTCCACATATTATTATGCCTACTGTGAGAGCCAATCAAACGTATCTCATTTGGTGCATCTAAACTAGAATATTAAACATAAGAGGGGAAGGGGAGGAGTATAAGAAAATATATATAAAGAATAAAGATAAGTGAGATAAACTAAATGAATAAATAAGATAAAATAAAATTATACATAAGAAAATAAAGTTAATAAGATTATATTACATATCTTAGTTATAATATTTATTATAATATTATTTTTTAAGACTGGCTATCCTCAGCCAACCTCAGCCAAGAATATATTATTAGTCGTATAATCCAATATATATTTATTTATCTCAGTAATACTCAATTATTATAATAATTATTTATAAAATCTAGAGTACGTAGCATATCTAATATAAAAATTTTATAACCGAATTAGAATATTCTTAAAATTTCTAGCTGGATAGTTTATATTCTCTATTTTATTCAAAATAAGTTATTTAATCTTATGCTATGATTAATTATGATCTAATTTATCATCATCTTTTTAATTTTTTATTTGATTTAATTATTAATTTTACTGGGAATGATAGTATCCTGAATTTAATCCAATAAATTTTTCAAAATTTTTATAAATATGTTTTCTTAGAATAAAAAGCTAGACATACTTATATATTCTTTAAAAGATAAATCTTGTATATATTTTTTATTTTATTTATAATTAGAAAGGTATATTAGTTATTCAAAGATTTTTATGAAGACTAGATCCAGTACCAATTTTTTATATATATAAAAATTCTATTATAGATATTGAAATTCTCTGAGTAGTACTAAAGTCTAGAACTTTATTTATTAATTTTATTAATTTTAAATTTTTTAGATACTTTTCCAGATAAATAACAGATTTATTCTATATAATAAATAAATTTTTATACCTGATCTCAGGCAAATAGTGTTGGATTGGGTCGGGTCGAGTCAGGATTTTTTTCAACCCAACCCAAAAACCCGCGCCGACCCAATTTTCCACGGGTTCAACCCGACCCAATCCAACACTAGGTGATAATATATTGAAAGAATTTATAAAAAATATTTAATCAAAGAATATGCTAGATTTATAGTAATCTATTATCAATATTAATAATTTGGTAAATTTATACAGAAAAGTAATGGCAGTAAAATAAATAAAAAAAACAAAATTTAATATATTATATTAAAAATAATTATTAATCGATTAATTGATCATTTTTATTTAGAAATTTGAAAATATTTTATAATAAAAAGTTTAATCTATATTTATGAGATTCTATGGATTTTATTCTAGAAGATAATTATAAGTTAATTTTTCATGATTAAAAATAATATTATTGAATAATCTTATCCAGGTATATACCTGGTTTATAAATAAATATATTATGTTTTATATAAATGATTAATTTATATAAGAAATATTTATTAAAATATTCTATTATGAAAAAATTATATTATAACCATGGCGGTCTTTTGGAAAAAAATAAAATATTATTAAACTAAAGTATTATAGAAATATAAAATTTGATAAAAGTTAAAGCAGATCTAAAACAAATTATAATAAATATTTTTATATTTATATACTAAATAATCATTTATATAATATCAGATATCTTGATTTTGAATATATTAATAATACTAGTATCTTATAAGAGCTAGTATCTTCTTATATATAAAATTTATTTAATAATTATATTTGAAAATTGTGATAGAACAACCTGGCTATCAGGAGTAAGGTCATCAGGATTATATATTACAGTGGTTATGTGAGTCAACAGATTATTAATAGCAGTTCTATATTATTCTAATATTTATAAAATACTGATTTCTTTAGAGGCTACTAATCCCTTAAAAATAATTTATTTTATAAATATAAACTATCTTTACTATTATAAAATTAATTTATAATATTTAATATTTAGTTTCTTATTTAATTGACAGGCCTTCTACCCTAATAAATAAAATCTATCATATTTTTATTTTTTTTAATTACTTAAGAAAGATACCACTATTTAAAATAAGAAAAAATTAGAGTTAGTTAGTAATTAAACTAATATAAAATTATTACTAAATATTATTTTTATTATTAGAAAGATTTAATAACTTAAAGACTATATTTATTAAATAAAACAGATTAATAATTTATAATAAAAAATAATTTATTTCTAAGAAAATATTATTAAAATATTTACAATTTCTCTTTAAATCAGATAAAAGAAAGAGAAAATAAAAATTTATTAATATTTTTTATTTTATATTTAATTTTAATTTCTAGAAGTATCAAAAATAGATTATTTAATTTAATTTATATATTTCAGAAAATCTCCAAGAAGTATTTGTTTAAAAAATATAAGATTATTAATTATATAGATTTAATATATAGATAAAGATAGTATTATTTTATTAATAATAAAATTTCAAATAAAAAATAATTATTTAAAAAAGTATAATTTTAATTTATAGATTAGAATTTTATTTTGATTAAAAATTAAAAATATTATAATATTTTAATCAGATATTATAGCTCAGCTTAAATAAATATACTAATAATTTAGTTAAAATGTTGAAAGATTTTATATTTATTTTAATATTTTAAAATAATATTTTTTTATTAAACTGAAGAGAAAAAAATCTTATTTTATTTTATTAAATTTTTTCTAGATTTAAATTATTATGTTTAAAAATATGTTCCATATTTAGTTATAGAATAATTTAGAATAAGAAATGATAATAGTTATTATTAATTATTAATTTATTAAAAAAATTGTTTTTAATATATTCCAGTTACTGCTTTTAAAATTAAAATTATTAATTAAATTTAAATCTTTATTCATAATATATAGAAAATCTTTATTATTATTGTTAATTCATAAAAAAAGTATCTATACTTTTAAATAATATAATATAAAAATAAATAAAAATCTTTAACTTAATAGAAGTTTAATTTTATTATTAATAATTAATTTTTAAGATTAGTATATTAGCTTATTACTCTATAAATATTAATAATAATATAATATATTATTTATTTTATTTTTTTAATTATCTAATTTGCCAGAGCCACTTGGAATTAAATTTAAAATAAATTTGCTTAATAATTTATTTTATAGTTCTGTAGATTATATTATTAGTTTTAAAATTATAAATTATTTTTATATAATTTAATATACTCTCTTTCCAAAGCTAAACTTAAGATTTTATAAAAATATATTAGAAAAAATCTAAAATTAAATTAAATTTAATCTTTAAAAAGTCCTGCAGGGAACTTTATTTTTTTATATTCAAAAAATATAATAATTTATATTCTTATATAAATTATAAAAATTTTAATAAAATTTCTTTTGAAAATTATTATTTTTTATCTTTTGTTTCAGAGATCCTTGACAGGGTTTTAAATATTAAATATTTTTAAAAATTAATATTATAAATATCTACTACTAAATTTATATTAGAAAAAATAAGTAAAAAATAATATATTAAATTTAATATAATTGTTTTAAATATATTATTATATTTTTTTGGATAAATTAATATTCTAATAATTTTTATAATTATATATATATCATACTTTATAGGCTTTTTAATAACTTTTATAGAATATATTTAAATAATATTTTTATTTTTTTACCAGATAGAAAGTTTTATATAAAATATATTTATTAAATATAAAAAAGATTTCAAGAAAATTAATTTTATATTGAATTTTTAAAATATTTTTTTATTAATTCTATATTAAGTTTCTAGAATATATTATTCATAATAATAATATATTTATAAATTTTTAATAAATAAATAATATTATTCTATAGCTAATTTTTGAAAGTTATTATAATATTTAAGTTTTTTTAGAATTTTATAACTTTTACTAAAAATTTATTAAGAATTATTTTTATATTATATTATTTCTTACTTTTCTATTTCATAGGATGATCAACGGATAAAAATTGAAAAAGAATTTATTTAAGTTTATATAAAAGAATTACTTTCTATTAAATAATTATTGTTTTTTAATAGAAATTTTTATTAATATATTTTAATTTTATAAGACCCCGCTATTTAAAATTAATATATTAAAAAAATAAGTAATATTCTATCTTAATCTAATAATAAAAACATATTTTAATTAATTGTTTTTTAATAATATAAGTTTTTCAATATTAAGCTAAACTATAATATTTTAAATTAAGAATTATTTATTATTATTTATTTTTTTAAAAATAAATAATATAATAGAAATATTTCCTAAATTATTATAATCTTATTAAACTATTTTAATTTATAACTATTTATACAGTAGACTAAGATTAATAAAAAATATATTTAATCATTTATATTTTTAAATTTTTTTTAGTTTTATTATTAAATATAAAATAAAAAATTTAATCCCGCAGATAAATTCCTTAGAATTATTATAAAATTTCAAAAACATTAATTTTATAAAGTAAACTTCTAATTTTAATTTATAAATGTTTTATAAATATATTATCTCTGTTAATTAGAGATTTGATTAAAGAAAAATACTAAATAAATATATATCATAATAATCTAAGAAGTCTATGAAAATTTAAAAAATTATTTAGATAATTACAAAAATTTATTAAAATATTTAATAAAAAGAAGATTATATTATCTTTATTTTTATAATTTATAATTAATCTTAAAATTGAATTTACAAATAATTATAAATTTAAAATTAATTTTTTTTATAAAATACTTTCTACAGAGTAGAAGATTCTGAGAAAATATGTATGAAAATATTTATAAAAAATTAA